GGGGATCCTTGAAAAGGAAGTCAACAGTTGCAAGCATGTGTCCAAATCTACTGAAGGTGCAAAAGGCTTGTTGCTGGAGGAAGGAGAACTCTCGAAGATTTCCAAAAGGGAGTCAGCCAAGGCTAATGGTTCAGCTTCAGCAGTAGAGGTGGGAGAGGTAGAAGGTGTGTCAAAGAGACTAGCTAGTCTTCCTTCAAAAATGTCTACCTCATCCCTTGACATGAAGGGCATAGAGAGTGTTGTGGTGGAAGACACAAAGGGCTGCATGGGGATGGGAGAAACGGATGGAGCATCTTTGGCAGTCTCTATGGTTTTGGCCACCAGCAAATCAAGTGAAGAGGAGCTGGAAGTTGGCATTGGTGATGAGCCATGAATTGAAGAGCTACCAGTGTCCTCTGTGGAAGAATCAACTGCCACTAGGAATGGAGCAGCAGTTGGAGTTTCTGTAAAGGATGACAAAAGAGCATGGCTCGAAGGAAAAGTAGACTGAGGTAGGTCACGAGCCAAAAAAGGGAGGTATGGCTTTAATCCAAGAAAAGGAGATGCAGGAATACTGGGACTTAAGGAAGGTACGTCAAATATAGGTTTTGGAAGTGGAAGTATGATTCGAACAACCCTGACATTTTGCATTTGATCAACTTCAACCGAAATTGAGGAAGGCCTTATTGGAAAGGTGAGTGCAGTAGTTGTCGCTGCAAATAGGGGTGGGCAACGGTTTATCCGAACCGCTCAAACCGCCCAATAATACCACAAGCTGACAAAGTAAAAAACAGCAGAGGTATGAAAGAAATTACTTGTTCCAGAGGCGCTAGTACTGATGGGAGAACTGCGGAGAGAGTAATGTCCAGCAGTCTGCTGCCTTCTTACCATTTCCCCTTGTGTTGCATCGGCAGTAGCAGCTTCCTCTTTTAGCATTTGCTCTTGCCATCTTTTCTTGGCCCTTTCAAATACAACGATTGCCTTGGAATGTTCTTGTTCGACTGCCTTGGCAGCTGCTTTATGAGTAGAGTCCTCAACATGGTTAGTGACAGGAACAGTCATTTTCTTTCTCTTCTCCCTAGGCAGAGATACAACCAATTCTTTTCCAACCTCCCCTTCTTCAGATCGGGGTTCAGACTCTCCAGAGATAAGTTCTTTCTCCACTATTATGGTGGTTGCCTCGCTAACAGGAGAGGGACTGGAAGTGGGCATTGGTGATGAACCATGAATTGAAGGGCTACCAGTGTTTTCTGTGAAAGAATCAACTGCCAGTGGGAATGGAGTAGCAGTTGGAGTTTCTACAAAGGATGGAGAAAGAGCAAGGCTTGAAGGAAAAATAGATTGAGGTAGGTTAGCAGTTGGAGTTTCTATAAAGGATGGAGAAAGAGCAAGGTTCGAAGGAAAAGTAGATTGAGGTAGTTTACGAGCTAAAAAAGGGAGGTATGGCTTTAATCCAAGAAAAGGAGATGCAGGAATACTGGAGTCGAAAGAAGTTATGACAAATATAGGCTTTTGAAGTGGAAGCACGACTCAAAACCGCATAGATGCGGGCGGGTCAAAACCGAACCGCAAACCGCACAAAACCGATCCGCGAACACCCCTAGCTGCAAAAAGAAGAAATGCAGAACAATGTTGAACTTCAATACCACAAGCTGATAAAGTAAAAAAAAAACAGCAGAGGTATGAAAGAAATTACTTGTTCCAGAGGCGCTAGTACTGATGGGAGAACTGCGGAGAGAGTAATGTCCAACAGTCTGCTGCCTTCTTACCATTTCCCCTTGTGTTGCATCCGCAAGCAGTAGCAGCTTCCTCTCTTAGCATTTGCTCTTGCCATCTTTTCTTGGCCCTCTCAAATACAACGATTGCCTTGGAATGTTCTTGTTCGACTGCCTTGGCAGCTGCTTTATGAGTAGAGTCCTCAACATGGTCAGTGACAGGAACAGTCATTTTCTTTCTCTTCTCCCTTGGCAGAGATACAACCAATTCTTTTCCAACCTCCCCTTCTTCAGATCGGGGTTCAGACTCTCCAGAGATAAGTTCTTTCTCCGCTATTATGGTGGTTGCCTCGCTAACAGGATTTTCAATGGCATCAGATGAAGATACAGCTACCTTTTGTCTCTTTGTTCTTTGTAAGGGCACTTCCTTCTCTGGCTCAACCTCTCTTTCTTCTTCAAGAGATTCAGGTACTTTAGGAGGAAGGACTAGTCTCCTTTTTGTTTTTTGTTGTTGTTTCTTCTTGAGAATAGCTAAAGTCTCGGTTCTCTTGGGAGACTCTTCTTGTGGAGACCCTACACCAAAAGCATGAGTATAAGGAAACCAACAAAAGATTCAGAATAAAAAGGGAGGAGAAAAACTTGAAGATACTCACCCTTCTTCGAAGCAGCTCTAGTAACCCTGGCTGGAAGGGGTAAAGTCGCAGGAGTAGTGGTGACAACTTCAGGAGGGGGAGAAGTGTTCTGGGCTGTTGTTGACTTATCCTTCGAAGGCAATCCCAACCCCACCAACAAGTCATGAGGGTGTGCAGAGAGGCGCACTTCCATATTGGCTGTCCACCAGTTCTTAAACCTTTTTAAAACTGAGCCAAAGGGGCGAAAGGGGATAAATTGGAATTCACTCAATTCCTTCAGCAGTCTGAGTACTGCTGCCTCTGGCTTGGATTTGGGTATTCTCAAATCCCTGGCAGTGAGATGGACATTTGAAAGACTGCAAAGAGGAACAGGTATCCCTTGAGAGAGCCCAAATTGCCTTGCAAATTGAGAAGGGCAGTATACCTCAGATATGCATTTATAGGCTCGAGGGTTCAGAGTGCCAATGAACAGCTCCCTTGGTAATAATATAGAGGCCCACATATCTTTGCGGGGAGAAGTGGAACATTCCTTATCAGCCAAAAAAGATTGTAGCCAGGTTGGCCCTCTATTGGCTGCACTTGAGAAACAAAACTCTGGTCCTTAGCCAGCTTCTCATCCGCAGTCTTAGCAGCATGACAAATATTGAGATAAAAATCAATAGTAGCTGCAGCCTGAGATAGATGACTTGAGACACTCATAGCTAGAGGTTTCTATTCCAACCATTCATGTCTCTCTCAAAAGGTACTATACATTGCCAATAATACCAATACAATGACAAAATAATATTCTCCAAAAGATATATCTATTTTCTAATGAACAACTCGAAACCTGGAATTTAATTAAGAACTTACTTATGCAAATAAGAGAACTGCTTAATTCTAATAATGTGTTTCACTCAAGGTCTGATTCCAAGATCCAGTTTTATATAGTAGTACTCCTAGAGCAAGATGATGGGGCATAGTATTAACTCAAGAAGTGAAATTAAATTCATCATCACCTCAGAAAAATACTGCATTCCATAAATTAACACAAGGTAAATGTATATTTTCCACATTTACCCCAAAAACTTAACAATACCGGTAATTAAGGATAAAAATCCTGATATAACTGTTGCAATTGGACACCAAAAGAAGTGGTTCTATTCGAGAAAGGGACTGCTAAGTCAGGAAAATCTGGTGTGATGGGGGTACCAATGGGGGATACTCCTAATAGATGGCAAATATCAAGAACAGTGGGGGCCATCATCCCACATCTGAATTGAAAGAAATTGAAGACGGGGTTCCAAAAGCACAAAGCAGTAGGAACTAGGAAAGGGTCCTCCGAGATAGTTACCCTAGATAATCGAAGGGCATCAAGGAGGCAGAGCTCTTGGAGATCCAGTGTCTTAGCAAGAATGATCCGATCATACCATTCTTGCCATTCCGGTCTTATCGTGGGCCAGCATCGATGAGGACGATTGCTTCTCCAGTTCTTCCAGTCAAGGCCATCTTCATAAAGGAGACGTTGGTCCACCAGACGCGGATAAAAGGTTGGGAGCTCAGTAAGGACTTCCTTGAAAATTGGTCCGAGCACGTAGTTCTGCTGCTCATGATGACGAGGGACGAAGATACGCCCATTGATGGCGCTTTTCTCTCCAGCCTTGTACTTCTCACATTCTGCGTCAATAAGCCTCTTCAAAGCTAAAGATGAGCCCACGCGCTCTGGGGCTGGCACCTTTTGTGAAGAAGAAGCCATTGATGATACACTCTTCAGAAGATGAAGACCAAAGCAAAGAGGAACCAGTAGAGAGAAGGGTTTGTAAAAGGCAAGAGATTTCGGAACACAAAACGAGAGGGTTTTAAAACCTTTGTGTCCGAAATTATACCCCGTAAGTCGTTAAGTACTAAAAGTACGAATGCGAGGAATTTCTTCCAAATTGATAGTTTTGGAGGGAAGAGCTTATTCCGGGGATTGGGGCCAGCGTCGAAATGAAATATTTGGCTTCGAAAACAAGATCTTGGCATCAAAAAAATCAAACAACAACGGGTTCGAAATACATAAGTCAGCTTCGAAGCCTAGTATCTGCTTAAAGGTGCTAAATTGCTTGATTATGGGTCTGTTTAGGAGTTATAAATCAAAGTAACGACCTTCGGAGCAAACCCTAGTATTCTCTGAGTATGAGAAGCGCTGTTCAGAGCATACTACATGCTTAAAAATGCCTGAATGCTCAAAGTATTGGTCTACTTCAAAAAATCCAAAGACCCGTTTGAAGGTTATCAGTCAAAATGACTCTTTAAGGAAGAGGGGCACTGTTCGAAACATCCAAGACCAATCATTGGTTTCTGTATGAGCAAGTGGGAATTGCCATAGGTTGCCCTTCGAAGCCAAAAGAGATCAGTTTAAAATTGATTGGCTATATCAACCATGACCATATATTGGTTACAGTTAGTGTTGAAAAAGTAAAGTCATTGAAATCGATGTACTAAAATAATATCTGCCAGAATTGTCAATTTTACTCCATGAATTGGACAAAGACATGATTGGTTCTTTTAGTTTTTCATTAAACAGTTGATTCGAAGGATGAGATTGTTCAATTCGAAGTTATGAGTTAGCTTTTAGAGATGAAAGAAAATAGAGTCAAACAGTGTTGAGTACAGAAAGACTTTGTTTATATTAAAGCCAAGATGATTACATTAAGTAACTCTATCTGGGTAAAATTCAAGCTCATAAAAATAAGGAATAGAATAAATAACAAGGTCATGAAATTTTGTCCAGCAATGGTCAATAAATTTCTGTTCTTTCTTTATTATTTCTTCTATCTCTTCTAAAGTTGATTGCATAAGCTGATGAGCCCTCACTTCATAATAGAGTTCTTCAGCCTTTGCTTCGAAGGCCTCTTCCCTCGATTTTTGTTCCAACTCATCTATAACCAAATCATCCCAGTATGCAGAATCTTTATTCCTGAAGTCATCGAACTCTCCGATAAAATTCTCTGCTTCATATTGGGCATGAATTCGGAGAGATAAGAGCTGATCCAGATTTTGGATGGTGATCTTAGAATTTCGGTACCAGTAGAGGAGCACTGGGAGTTGGTCCAAAAACAAATGAAGCTCTGTCTGGGCAATAGGGTTGAGAACATGACCTCTAGTCAAGATATCACAAGCCCATTGAAAGTTCTTAAGAGGAATGTCATCCTCAAGAACATTGAAGGGCAGATGGGAGAAAGCCGCGAGCAAAAGTTGAGCTTGCTTTCGCTCGGCTGGAGAAGGGGGTGACGGAGGTTGGTAAGGTGGAAAGACTTTGTCCATTGGAAGGGCAAGTCTTAGTTTTTCTGTCCAGGAAAGGATGGGAGAAGGAGAAGGAGAAGATGATTCTGCTTCAGAAGACAAAGGAGAAGGAGCAGGTGTTTCTATCTCGGAAGATGCAGATGCAGAAGAAGGTGTGGATGTTTCTATTATGGGAGATGGCACGGGAGCAGAAGGAACAAAGGCATTAATGTACTCAAGCCAATCAGAAGAGCAAATCTTCGCCTTTTTGGCTAAGAATGAAGGGGTGTACCCCTGTGCTTCCTCTGGACGCTGGGCAGGGTGCATTATCTTCGTAGGCATGGAAGAAGTATACCAGGCCACAAGCAGATTCTCTTCCAAGCTACGTCGAAGGTCAATGGGCACGTAAGGGTAGACCACTGAGCTTCGAGCGTAGGAGGGAAACTCCAAGGGGTCAGTAAACTCAACAAAATGGTGATTGATTCGCTCCCTTAAATCATAAGTCTCAGGAGTTGACCAGCTTGTCCAGCCAGAAGCCCCAGAAGGTGAAGAGGTTACAGCTTCATCCCATGCAGAGGTCTGTGAAGAAGAGTTTCCGAAGTCCATATTTGCAACTTGTCGAAGCAAAGGCTCGAGGGTAGTTCGGTCAGAATACAAAGGGAGCTTAAGGGAAGAATTCTTTGTATCTGTAAGTTTGTAAACCAAGGGATTAAAAGCAATGTGTTCATAGTCCAGAGGTTTATAATCTACAAAAGCCTCCATTACCTGAATATAGAAGGGCGGGTAAAGGTGGCTAATGAATGCGTGGAGGTTCTTTCGAGGGGGAACAACATCACTCAAAGGCTCTTCATATGCTTGATCAATAGAAAGGGAAGTTGGTGCAGCCATAGCCTGTTCGAATACTAAGGTATTGGGATGTTCGACGAGTTAATGCAGATGATCTCCAAATAGATGACGGTTGTGTTTCCAGAATATGGACTCCATACACGTTCTAGAAGCGCGGGAAAACTGCAATTCACTAATATCACCAAGTATTGGGTATATTAGTGCGGGGGGTAATGTTGGCTACATATTTTGTAAAAGCCAGTTACAGTTCGACACGTGGCATAGTAAGGGTAATAAAGGAAGGTTATTCAAGCCTTTAATCCTGATCGTACACGTGGCAATAAATATTGGTCCTCACATGATCTGAGTAACACTAGATCAAATAACGGGATGCAAGATGACGTGTCTTCAACGGTTACTCATATTCAAATTCAGTACAAGAGGGAAGCTCAACTGCCAGTAATGGCGTAATGGAGCTACTTTTAAGGAAGCATGATCAGCGATCATGGAGGAGCAGTTCGACGGATCGAAGTGCAGTTCGAAGGTCATCACTGACGAGTATAAATAGTAGAGCAGCCCCCAGGAAGACGACGGACTCAGATCATACAAACCAGTCATTTACTTCATATATTTTCTTTTCCAGTCATTTACATTTCCATTCTTTAAATACATGTTCTTTAAATACCTGCACTTTAAATACCAGTACTGCACTTCGATTCATAGGAGTAGCTTCAAGTAGATTCAAGTAGATTGCTGTTGTAAACCTCTCTGAGGCTGAGTTCGGACCATTGTAAGTGTTCATTTTTATGAAATACTTCAATTGTTCTTCATATTACTGTTATTTTCTATTAACTTCTCCTAAATCAAGCCACCAGTAAAAGTCCTCTTCATTGAGGCTGAAAAGAACTAAAACACAATCGTCTGATAATTGGTTGGCAATCACAATTTCTGTAAGGACTGATTGATCCTTGCTGGCACGCTCACATTCACAAAAATACCCTTCGAAAAGCCAAAAAGCCAACAATGACATTCTCTGGGAATTGGAGAAATCAGATTTTGATTATTGTTAGAATAGATAACTTGGAATCAACTTCATATTCCAATCAATTCATATCGTATTCA